ACTTGTTTTCTGGAGAAAAACTAAATTTAATTGGGGTTAAACATGGGGGAAACATGGTATGGATGTGAGTATTTATTGTTCAGCAACCATAACTGTGACCAGCAACCTGGTCATTAAGCAAATTGGTCATTAAGTCAAAGGTTTATGTCTTGCATTAACTTTCCTTGGTGAACTAATTGTCTCCTGCAAACTCCACTCCCCTTTTGCTCCTCTTTTATTCCCTCTGGGAGAGGTCATTCAATGTTCACCTGTGGCCTTACTCCCAAGTCGACCCTTGTCCCTTAGCTGTTTCCTTCGTCTGCACATGCACACACTGGGAACAGGCTCCAGCTGTTCATCTGCCTCACTGATGTCTGACTCTGAAGGCAGCTGATAACTGGCATACGGCTCTGGTCCCCTCTCTGTCTCTGACACAGAGCCCTCATCAGAGCCTTCCCCAGACTCCAGGACAGGCCCATGTTCCTCCACAACCTCCTCACTGTCTGAATCTGCTACCAGCTCCGCTGGCTCGTGGCAGGCCACAAGGAAGGGAAGGAGGGAGGGAGGGAGGGAGGAAGGAAGGAAGAAAGGAAGGTATCACCAATGATGGGAAAAGGATCTACTATGAATCCAGAATGGGATGGATGACCTATGTTGCAACACCACTCTTTATCCCCATTCCCCATATCTATGATCTTTTAAACAATGATTTCTATAGGCTCAACCACAATAATAAACGTTTAGAGCCCTGAGATCTGAGCCTTTTTTTTAACTTTCAACCTAATGGAGGGCACAGTTTTTGGCAAACCACTTTTCTCTTCGCCAAGCTGTAGGCAACGTCTGTCAGGACTAGTCGCCTGCAAAGACCATCAACAGTTGCAAAGGGAAAACCAGAACCGCCCAACCTTTTCCGGAAAAAAAGGGTTTCGTGTGTTTGTGGAAGTGACCAAGAGCTCAACTAATGCAGCGCAGAGCAAAGAAGGAGAAAAACACCCCACAACACAATCGCCAGTGGCTGGCGGTTCATTAAAGCCGGTATTGATTCAATGGGTGAAACTTCCTCAATCAGCCATGAAGATTTTTTTAAAAGGAAAATACAAAACGGTATGGACCTCTGGTCTGTCAACATGGCTGGTGCTCAAAGGAGTTTTATTATTAATTCACCTAGGAGCCTGGCCTGCATTTGCAGGGGGGGGGGCATGGAGAGGCCAGGCAGGGTAGTTGAGTCATTCCGGATGGAAATAAATTGTGCAACGGAGAGGCAAAAAAATGAAGCATCCAAAGCAAGTGGCAAATCTGTTGCCAAAGGCCAGAATAGCACCTCAACGTCTGTTGTGGGTTCAGCTAAATGTCTGTTGTGTGTCCAGCCAAATGCCTTCGCTTGAAAGATATCTTAGGGGTGAGGAGGCTCTGCTCAGCCAGCTCCTGGATAGAAACACCCAGGATAGCAGCGGTGAATACAGTCCTCGATTTATGACCACAAACGGGAAGAGAATTTCTATTGCTAAGTAAAGTGGCCATGAAGGGAATTGCACACGATTTTACGATATATATTTTTTAAATCGCACAAGCCAAAGGCCAAAGTTGATGGGGAAAGGCTAGGATTTCGTTCCTCTTTACCCCCCCACCCCCAACCAATCCAGTTTTCTAGATGGGAAAGAAAGCATTCTTAAAACACCCAAGAGGAATATAGATAGATAGATAGATAGATAGATAGATAGATAGATAGATAGATAGATAGATAGATAGATAGATAGATAGATAGATAGATAGATAGATNGGGATTCGAACCACCAAATTGCTGACCTTTCTGATTGACAAACTCGGAGTCTTAGCCACTGCGTCCCTTTACCTTTAACCTCATAAAACCATGCAATCTTGTTAAAAATCAAGGAGATTATTTTAAATATGCCATGGAAAAGTTAAAGAAACAACCCAAAGGTCAGAACCTGGGCTCTGAAATTGTTAGTGTCTGTAGACCATGGGCAGTGATGCTTAGAAAAATACACAGAAATACAGAGAAAATACTACAGCAGACAGACTCACTGTTTTATTTATTACAAAAGAGCCATGGTGGCGCAATGGTTACAATGCAGTATTTTTTTGTCATTCACATTTCACTTTGCCCCTCCTTTAGCATCCTTTCTTTGATAATTCTATTCCATCATTTCTTTGACTCCCGAACTTGGGAGTTAATGCTGAATCTGGTCTACAAGTATGCTTTTTTTTTAATGGAAGGAAGTACTAAGATACAAAACTTTGACCCTGTTTTTTAAAAAATGGAAAAAACCGAGTCCATTCGCACCACAGGTTTTCACCGAAATTGCACAAATTTGCAATTCTGTGGGTTTGTTTCCGTTTTCAGCCAGACAGTCCCATCCAAGAAAGAGTGAGAACAACAGAATACGAACTGTGACATAATCTCCAGCATCTCCCAGGATTTTGATGAAAAATGGCCATCTACGCAAACTTCCTTCCTGCTACACAGCAGCATTCATGGTCATTGGACAAGAGATAACTTTAGGTCAGTCTCCCTCCCTCCCTCTCTCAGTCCACCTCAAAGGATTGTTACTGTGGGAAAATAGGAGAAGGAAGACAGGTTGGACATGTTTGCCACTTGAGTTATTTCTAAAAATAATAAAGGCAGGAAAGGGAGGAAGGAAGGAAGGAAGGAGGAAGGAAGGAAGTGTTCTGACTGAGGATTCTCAAGAGCCTGAAGCATACTCTTTGTCTGCACAAAAGTCCCTTTTATTAATTCACTGTGAATTCTGCTCATTCACATCCAACAAATTCTTTCGAGGGAGGATTTACAGTCACAGACCTTNTGTGTGTGTGTGTGTGTGTGTGTGTGTGTGTGTGTGTGTGTATGTAGAATTTGTGAATTTGATTTTTCGTGATTATGGTCTATTCAAGATATGCATTTGGTATATACTTTTTAAAATAGATATTCTCCTTTGCAAGCAATTTCTCGGTGTTTTGGAGGGACACAAATTGATTTTTTTTATTATTAATTTTTTTTTATTTTGTGACACAAATTGATTTTTGTGTGGCTTTTGCTTTATTTTTCACTTTTCAAAAGTGAAAGCATTATAAAATTCTGAAAACTGCAGTGAATAACAGTAGAGGGCTCCTCAGTGTCAGTCCGGCAAGTTATTATTTATTTATCTTTTTCTGAATTCCAGAAAAAAGGACGCACTACCAAGATGCCCCATTGCCTGCTCACTACTGCTAAAAGAAAAACTGTACAAAACTGTACCACAGTCAAGCTCCATATCTTTCTACATTCTGAATATTCCTTTCTCTGCTCCATATCAGAATGTTGGAACACCATTTTGAAGAAGGGGATTTCTATCCCCCAACTAAAAGCTGAAGAAAAGTAGCAATGTGGAGATCTTTGAGATATTAGAGGTGGCTCCCTCAACTGTTGAGGGAGAGGTCTCTCAAACATTCCTGAGGCAATCTGAACCCATTTATGAATATTAACAACATCCACACCAATATCCCCTTTATTCCCGAGGGGGGGAGGAATTCCCACCTCTTTGACATCTTCCTCACATCAACAGTGATTCTCTTCTAAGACAAATTTCAGAGAAATCTTTTTTAGCAAGATTTATTCCTCTCCATGTCTTAACAATGTGCACCAAAATTCATTAGAATTGGAGCGAGCCTTCCTTCCTTCTTCTTCCTTCCTCCCTCCTTTCTTTCTCTTCCTTCCTTCCTCCCTCCTTTCTTTCTCTTCCTTCCCTCCTCCCTCCCCCCCTCTCTTTCCTCTGCCTTTCTGAAAACTTGTGAGCTGGGATTCTTTCCATAAAGAGGCTTGCAGGTGTTTTTTTACATAACCTTTTCATGAATCCTCATTTCTCCAGGCAACCATTTTTAAGTTGATGCCTCCAAGCAGATGAGAGAACCCAGCTGTAGCTTTTATGACGTTAAAGGTAAAGATGCCCTTTAATAGGCTCCATAGATGCTATGGAAGCATCGATATTTTCTCAGCAATACAGAGCAGTGGGCGCCCCTTGCCCTTTTCCATTTTATTTTTTAAAAAAGAAATCTTTTCAGTCTATTTTATAGCTCTGGTGCTCTTTCATTGTCTCCCATTCAAATGCTAACTAGGACGATTCCTACGGTCTTAGCTCCGAAAAGGTCAGCTAGGTAGGGCTACCTGCTGAGAATCTACAATACCTCGGCCTTAAATAAGCTTTATACTCCCCTTTGTGCACGTTGGACTGCAGGGGCAAATTTTGATTATGCCATGTTGGAGAAGAGGGAGATTCCCGAAGCTGCAAATTTGATGGCAAGAGAAGGTCACATGTGGGTCACTCCTATACTTAGGAGAAGTGCTGTTTCTTGAATCGCCTGGGCAGAAAGCTATAAAGCGGTTGAGAGAAGCCCCCCCGCAGCTACTCAGATGCAGATCAGAAGTGGACTGTGCAACTTCTTAGAAACAAAAGAGAATTACGACAGCTGGCTCAGAAACGAAAGCTTTCCGCCTGCCTTCTCCACATCTTCACTTCTGACGAGTGACAAAGCAGGGATTAGGAAAAAAAATGTTTTCCCCTTACTTACAAGAAGCTGGAGCCAAGATTCCTATTTTTTTTAAATTATAGCTTGTCATTTATTAAAAAATATGAAGGGAATATGTCCTTGTTGCTGTTTGTTAAGAGTTCTTAGCGAATGTGCACACGACTGTATTCCACAGTCAAATTTCACTTCAAGAAGGAAATATATCACAGGACTAATTCTTTCTCTGCCAAAACCTTGATTAAAGGTAAAGTTTTCCCTCGCACATATGTGCTAGTCGTTCCAGACTCTAGGGGTTGGTGCTCATCTCCGTTTCAAAGCTGAAGAGCCAGCGCTGTCCGAAGACGTCTCCGTGGTCATGTGGACGGCACGACTAAATGCCGAAGGCGCACAGAACACTGTTCCCTTCCCACCAAAGGTGGTCCCTATTTTTCTACTTGCATTTTTTACGTGCTTTCAAACTGCTAGGTTGGCAGAAGCTGGGACAAGTAACAGGAGCTCACTCCGTTACATGGCGCTAGGGATTCAAACCGCTAAANTACTTGCATTTTTTACGTGCTTTCAAACTGCTAGGTTGGCAGAAGCTGGGACAAGTAACAGGAGCTCACTCCGTTACATGGCGCTAGGGATTCAAACCGCTAAACTGCCAACCTTTCTGATAGACAAGCTCGGCGTTTTAGTCACCATGTCCCTCTAGGCCACATAATAGGAAACAATGAAAAAGAATAAAAACTGGGAAAAGTGAACAGGTTAGAGCAGAAGTTCCAACAAATATTTAATTTCTATCTGTGGATTTATAGTAATAAGAAAAAAACAGGTCATGACTAAGCAAATCAGTTTGGTCCAAGTGGTATAGTGAAGATTTTGTTTTTTCATTTTCTTCTCTGAAGCTCTCTATTCTATATTCATTTCTCACTCGCTTTCCCCCCCACTGTGGATGTCTGTGAACACAACAGGACCTGAGAAATGCATTTTGTGGACCTGGAGTTGGGCTTCAAGGGGGCAGGGGAAGGTAGCAAATATGGCTACCTCTTCACTGGAAGTCAAAGGTCAAACAAATCTAACAAGGCCCTAGCTGATTAACAAAGAACCAGACACCATAGTGAGTGAGCATTAACCAGCTCCTTTGTTCCCCCCTTGCAAACTATTTCTTTTAGTTTGCTCAGTGTAATCAAATTAAATTGCATTCTTAATGGTTCATTTAGTGGCATTTAGAGCAACTCCACAAACGACTGAGATCAGCAAGCCTAGGATGGGAATCGAGGCTAATAAGGAAATTAATTGGGGAGGCTGATGAGAAAAAAGTCCTTGTGTAGCCTCCGGAATTACCATAAATGTGACATGCAAGATGAGACAAAGCCTTGTGTTTGAGTGGTGGAGCCAGTCTTCTGAGTCCACCCAGTGGAGAGCTAGTAGGGGTGACAATTTAAAAAGTAAATTCTTTGGAACAGCAGTCTCTCTTTGGATACAGAAACAATCCCGAACCTAAATGCAGCATTCATTTCTTCGATGTTAGATGTTTCATGGAGAACTTCTGCCTATACATTCTAAGGCAGGGGCTATCCAACCTTGGCAACTTTTAAGACTTGTGGACTTTCAACTCCCAGAATTTCCCAGCCAGCCATTTCTGGGAGTTGAAATCCGTAAGTCGTAAAGTTGCTAAGGTTGGACCCTCCTGATCCAAGGACTTTCCAAAAACCAAAGGAAAAAGAATGTGCTGTAGAAGAGCAAGCAGAGTTGGTGGGTGGAGTTAAGTGTATCATAAGCTTAGAGTCATTATACTCCCACAAATGGTCTGAGATTTTAATGTCAGGTGCAAAGGATCAGGACCATACATGAAGGTGCAGTTCAGAAAATTCATTGCCCAAGGCTATCCACCAGTGATGGTGAACCTTTTGGGCACCAAGGGCCAAAAAGGGAGCACTATATGCGTGCGAGCGCATGTGTCCGTGCCGCAACAGGAAAGCAGCTGCCCAGGGGCCATGTGTGACCTGGAAAATGAACTTCCGGTTCCTGGTGTGCACATGCGTGCTGGCCAGCAAGTCTTCTGGTTACTACCACGCATGCACACTCACCGATCACCTGGCTGACGTACGTGCTTACAACGGACAACAGAAGACCAGCTCTTCCAGTTTCCGGCACTGCCGCATGCACGAAGGCCAGCTGATCATCGCGTGCGCATGCATGCCAGAAACCCGGAAGAGGAATGTGACATGGCTCGACATGTCACTGTGGCCATGTGTGCCATAGGTTCGCCATCACAGCTGTACACAATCTAGCCAACTAAAATTCAGTGCTACACTGGCACCAGATAAGGATCAATGGAACTCAAAGAGGGTTGACTTACACTGTTTGTGGGAATGTCATGACTCTTAAGCTAATGATGTGCTTAACTCCAGCCACCAGATCGGGTTTCTCTTCTCTTACTGAAACCCCTCTATTACAAGGAGTTAAGAATCAATTTGAATTATCACCCTGATGAATGAAAAGGAGATAATACAGAGAGTGCTATTTCCATGCCTCTATCCTGCATTTCAATTCTTTCTAATTCAAAGCAGGAAATATTCTGACTGCATCATCAAGGCAAAGATCTCATTGTCCGCAGAGCTCTGAAGCTTCCAGTGTCTCCTACATCAAACGTTCTCCTCTTCATGTACAAATATAAACAAACACAGACTCCTACACCAGAACATTACTGGTGCCAAAAATGTATCGGTTGCAGAACAGATCTTCACATTACTTCACAGCCATTTTGCAGGAAAATTAAAACGGTCAGCTATGAGCAGTCCAATCATGGATGGAGCTGTCCATGGTTTACATAGGAAACCAAATCTACCAGCAATATTAGCTGTGTCCTGGTTTGCTCTTAGCTTGCTTGGCACGATGTGCTGAATGAACCACAAACCAAGGTTAGAGGGCAGTACCGCAAGCAACTTCTGTTGATTGACAGCTGCCTGCAATTTGGCAGATCGAATCTCACCAGGCTCAATGTTGACTCAGCCTTCCATCCTTCCGAGGTGGGTAAAATGAGGACCCAGATTATTGGGGGGGGGGGCAATAGGCTGACTTTGTAAACTGCTTAGAGAAGGGCTGTAAAAGCACTGTGAAGTGGTCTATAAGTCTAAATGCTACTGCTATCTGTCCCTGTTCAACCAAGCCCACTTAAAAGATGAGCCAAATGTCACAAACTGGCACGCACTGCACAAATTGCCCCAGTGACCCCTCCCACACCTTCTGAAGGTTCCCATTTCTTACCAACAACATCAAGGTGGTAGGTGTGATTGATGATTCCATATTTATTCTCCACAATGCAAGTGTAGTTGCCTTTATCTGATGGGACCACGGAGTCCATGATGATGCTCCAGGTTGCATGGCGAACCTGTTGAAAGAGGATGAAAGGGCTCAAGGAGGCTACGTGTTGACTAAGGGTTGGGACACAAGTGCAAAAGGAGATGGTGGGCGTGGCTGCTCTTTTGCCTCTTCATCTCAGAGCAAGACCTAAGGTCTCTTCCAGAGCCTCTACTGCTTGGTTTAGGCTGGACGTAACATCATCAATTTGTGGTTATGTTTTCCCCTCCTAGCATACAGACTCATAATTGCTGGCAGCTGCAGGGTTGACCACAGAGCCATTGACATCTGGAAACAGATTATTCTTGAAGAGTGGGATGAAGATGCTTTGCCAACACAGGAACCAGACCTGAAAATACCTCCAGCTGTTTTCCTCCCACGAAGGATGGTTGGCTAGTTTCATCCAAGAAACCGTACAGTGCATAAATGTACATTTATTTGCAGAACCTCCCAATCTGGAATCTGAATGTGTGGATCACTTCTTCTTTCACTATGACTGTTTCTCTGCCCATCCTATTCCATCTTGCAAGTTGCAAAACCTCACCAAGCAACTTAGAAAACAAAGGCAATACATCAAGCTAAGTAACAGGTATGTAAGCTACATCGTATGTAAAAAGGAAGCACTAAAATATAACCTCATAAAGGTAAAGGTTCCCCTAGCACATATGTGCTAATCGTTCCCAGTGCTCATCTCCGTTTCAAAGCCAAAGAGCCAGCGCTGTCCGAAGATGTCTCCGTGGTCATGTGACCGGCATGACTAAATGCCGAAGGCACACGTAACGTTGTTACCTTCCCACCAAAGGTGGTCCCAGTTTTTCTACTTGCATTTTTACATGCTTTCGAACTGTTAGGTTGGCAGAAGCTGGGACAAGTAATGGGAGCTCACTCCATTATGCAGCGCTGGGGATTCGAACCACCAAATTGCTGACCTTTCTGATTGACAAACTCGGAGTCT